CGGTTCGTGGTCCCATAGGGAGCTCCACCGAGGGCCCCAATGGGTGCGGTTGCATGCGCCACCGCAACCAATTACGGCACACCCCTCACATGTTTCGTGCCCCCCCAAGGAGCTCCACCGAAGGCCCCAATGGGTGCGGTTGCATGCGTCACCGACACCCAGTACGGCACACCACTCACACGGTTCGTGGCCCCATAGGGAGTTCCACCGAAGGCCCCAGTGGGTGCGCTTGCATGCGTCACCGCCACCCAGTACGGCACACCCCTCACACAGTGTGTGGCCCCATAGGGGGGTTCCGCCGAAGGCCCCAGTGGGTGCGGTTGCATGCGCCACCGCCGCCCATTATGGCACACCCCAGCACACGGTTCGTGGCCTAACAGGGAGCTCCACCGAAGGCCCCAGTGGGTGCGGTTGCATGCGCCACCGCCACCCATTACGGCACACCCCTCACACGGTCCGTGCTCCCCCAAGGAGCTCCACCGAAGGCCCCAATGGGTGCAGTTGCATGCGTCACCGCCACCCAGTACGGCACACCCCTCACAAGGTTCGTGGCCCCGTAGGGAGCTCCACCGAAAGCCCCAGTGGGTGCGGACGCATGCGTCACCGCCACCCATTACGGCACACCCCTCACACGGTTGGTTGCCCCATAGGGAGCCCCACCGAAGGCCCCAGTGGGTGCGGTTGCATGCGTCACCGCCACCCAGTACGGCACACCCCTCACACGTTTCGTGGCCACAGAGGGAGCCCCACCGAAGGCCCCAGTGGGTGCGGTTGCATGCGTCACCGCCGCCCACTACGGCACACACCCCTCACACGGTTCGTGGCAACATAGGGAGCTCGACCAAAGGCCCCAGTGGGTGCGCTTGCATGCGTCACCGCCACCCAGTACAGCACATCCCTCACACGGTTCGCAATTCGGCACACCCCTCATGCGGTTCGTGGCCCCAGAGGGATCGCCACCGAAGAAGATGCTCACACTTGCCGTACCCACAGCTGCATATGGTTGGGTCCTTCGCCAGGCTAATGTTCGACGACCTTGCCTGGAGGACGCTGCGGACGGCGGAGTGAAGAGGCGGGTGCCATCGGGACAGGGCACTGCGAGAGAGTGCATGGGCCACGCCGCATCCAGCTGCGGAGGAGAAGAAGAGGGACCATCTTCGTGCTGGTTTGTCCAGAGGCTTCTGTTGGTCGGGACCCTGCAGCTCTGGCGCGCGAGCGCCCAATCGGCGGCACCCCTCGCCACGCCTGCCGTGCGGGGAATTGACGGGGGCTGTCGGCGTGGGTCCTGCGCGCCCTTACGCCTCGTGGGGGTGGGCAAGGTTCGCGCGGCCACAGTGGACCGCCAGGGCCGAGGACGGCGGCAGCGAGGAGAGCATCCCGCGAGCAGACCTGGGCGCGCCAACGCTGAGAGCAGTGAAGGCGTCGTGAACGGAGATCGAGGTGGCAAACGAGCCGCCGCCAGGCTGGCGCTGAAGCTCGGCGCCAAGGGAGGCGGGCTAGCCATCCCTCAAGATCAGAACTATCACCGTGGCTTCGCGCACAGCCGATGTGGAGGCACACATCCTCTCGCGCAGCGGGAAGCCGTCGACATGACGAGAGGGTGTGGTACAAGAACGGGGCGGTCAGGGAAGGTGAAGGGGCCGTTTTCAGAGATGCCACACTCACGAGCGTCTTGACGTCGTCCAGTACTCAGGCACCGAAAGTGCGGTCGAGCTAGCACTCGAGGAAGGGGAAGGGGGAAGGGTGCAGGAGTGGGAGGAAGGAGAAGAGGAAATGAGATAAGACATAGGAAGAGCGGATGGGCTAAGAGGGAGGAGGGAGAGCAAGAGCAGGAGCAGGACGGGGGCCATGAGCAGGAGAGGAGGGTGACAGTCAGAATGCAGGAAGGGCAGCGGCAGCAAGAAAGACAGGATGGAGGCCGAGGACAGAAAAACCCAAGGGGGGTACGGGAGGATGGACATCGGCGACGGCAAGCGCGAACGGAGACCAAGGCCCCTGGCGATGCCGAAGGCGGCCCTGCCCCACGGTGGCATCGGATTCTCCAGGGCGCCCCTCCGGAGCCTGGGCCCTGGAGGCCTCCAGGAGGAAGGCACCAACTATGCTTCAGCACCGATCCTGGCCAGGATCACCCCGGGCCTGCTCCGGGCAGGGTGCATCTGCACCGATCCTGGGCCCAGGGTGATCCTGGCCAGGATCGGTGCTGGTGTATAGTTGGTGCCCTCCGATCCAGAGCCCTGGTGGCCCTGGGCATTTCCAAAGTGGCACCAGGCTCTGGTGGCCTCCAGGGCGCCCCTCGCCGGGCCCCAGACGGGGGCACCCTGGGTCAGGGCAACCTCTCCGTCTTAGGTGACAAGCTGCTCAAGGAGTTTTTGGTCCGAGCCTCTCCCAACCTCCTCCGCGGACGCCTCGGCAGTCCCTGCTCTGGAGTGGCGTGCCGTGTCCTCCTCCCCCTCCTCTTCTTCCCGACGCATTGGGGCCCCCGCCTGAGGGCCACAACAGGAAGCAACTCAGTCCAGGTCCAGGCGCACGAGCTGAGCAGGTATCTCAGCTTTCAGGATGCCCGGCAGGAACCCCTGGGCTAGTCGGCGGAGACCTTTCGCTCCATGACTGCCAGGGGCGCGACACTCGTGGTCCAGGCTCTTACCTGTCCACTCTCTCCCCCTTCCCCTCCCTCGCTCAGAAGCCGGTCGCGGCCCCGGGGGCAGCTGCCCGCGCCTGCTTCTCCTCGGGGGCACTTGGGACCTAAGAACGGCCCCCCAGCAGGCCGAGGCGGACATGTCCACGTCAAGCACGCCGCCAACAGTTGACCAGGGACCGACCGTCCCGGCAGTCCCACAGGCCTACCACGACATGTTCTCAGAACCCAAGAAATGTTCTAAGAACAAAAACGAGGTTCTCAGAACGGAATCCCGATGTGTTCAAACAAGACGGTCTCAGCCAGAAATGTTCTGGGAACATCTCGCGCAGACCGCGAAAAGGTTCTCAGAACATTGTTCGGTGGGCCGAACTATAGGCACGCCAGGACGCTTCGCCACTGCCTGAGACAGCCTCGAGGAAGCGGCCCGCAAAAAGCGTGGACAACACAGCCGCGTGGCCGAGGGCCACCGCCAGCACGGAGCTGCCCAGGAGGGGCGGAGTCCCGAGGAGGAGGGGCAGGGGGAGCGAGAAAAAGAAGCCACGCCCCCAGACGCCGAAGCTCAGGAACAACGTCGCGGTTGAGAGAAAAAACCGCGCCGCATGTCTGGGCCTGGCAATCGCAGAGGAAGAAGAAGAAGAAGAAGAAGAAGAAGAAGAAGAAACATAAGAAGAATAATAACAAAAAGAAGAAGACGCGCACGCATATCGCTTTCGAAGGCCTGCGCGGATTCCTTGGCTCGGCGCTGGCCCCTCCGCCCGGGCGCGCGGAGCGTGCGCCAGAGGCGGTGCCGGAGGCGCCTTCCGGGGGGCCCCGTCCATCGTCCAGCGCAGATCCGAAACATCCGCGCCATCCTCCGAAAGCTTGCTGCCATCTTGCTACCGCGAGGAACGCGGAATGAAGAACACAAGGGGCCTTCCTGGCCACGGCGAGCCCTGGCTCCGAACAGGTCCCCCGACCCCGACCTGAGGAGCGGGCCCCCACCAAAGCACGAGCCCCATCCCGAGCCCGAAGTGGCCCTCACTCCAGCTGCTTGACTGCATGCTTGTGCCCTTCTGGCCCCGCCCGCATCTCCGACGTGGTGTGCTTCGAGGTGGTCGTCCCCGTCGCCGTTCCTGCACGGGCCGGCCGAACAGAAGGAGGAGGAGGAGGAGGAGGAAGAAAAATAATAATAATAAGAAGAAGAAGAAGAAGAAGAGGAGGAGCAGAAGGAGGAGGAGGAGCAGAAGGAGGAGGAGGAAGAAGAGGAGGAGGGGCAGGAGGAAGAGGAGCCGCCAGGAGGAGGAGGAGGAGGAGGGAGGATACGGCACTGCCGAGGGAAGCGTCGCGCTGTGCACGAGCGCCCACCAAGGGCGCCAAGCTGCTGGCAGCCTGGCTGGCCTGTGAAGAGGCTGGGACCCCACCAAGAGGATCTCGGGCACCAGCCACACAGACAAAGAGACGGGGGGTTAAGTCCCGCAGCCTGGGTGAGAAGGTGGGCTCCCGTGGAGCCTGACCCAGTGAGTCTCAAGGTCTGAGACGAGTAGCGGACGAGGTGCGGGAACTCGACGTGAGCCCTCCATTCCTTCGTCCGCAGGGTGAAAGCCCTGCATGAAAAGGCGTCGGTTACGCACCGCCCGTTCTGACAGGCGGTGCGTGCTTCCCGATGGGCAATCAATTAGGAGGTGACCAGCCGTGCCCGTCGTAAAAGCCCCACAGGAAACGCACAGGCAAACATGACCCGAGGAAACCCAGAGTCTGTGGCCGCGAGCGGCCGTGGCAGGAACGGGGCCCGCTCCTGGCATAGGCTCGGCTGGTACTGTCCTGTCGGCCAGCGAGGGCCGACTTGGGCGCTTGGAGCCGATCCGCCTCCGCTTGTCGGGGAGGAAGGTGGGTCCCGAGCGCTCTGGAAAAGAAAGAACCCTGGCAGTGGCATCAGCCTGGACACTCGCAGCTCCATCCCAGGCAACAGCGACGGGCTCGAAGCCCACGCGTGGCCTGACGTGCCTTTCAAAGCCAGGGGAGGGGCTACGGGGGCGAGGCGAGTAAGGGCTACCCAGGCCCGGGGAGGGAGGGGGGGACCCGCCTCCCCTTGGACACTCACCTGGCCACGCGTGGGGGACTCCGTCCAAGGGCGCACCGATCGAAACGAGTCCGAGGGGGAGCGAGATCGCACGGCAGCACCGAAGCTGCTGCCCTCATTCGTCGGCATCTGCCCTTCATTGTCAGCCTGGGCGCGCGCAGCGTGTCCAGGAGAAGTGACAGTGGAGGGGTGCCGATGGATGGCGGCGGCAACACGCAAACGAGCAGGGCAGGCAAGCTCAGAGAGACGACGACGGGTCCTTTCCAGCTTCGAGCCCTTCCTACAAAACTCGCATCTCCAAATGCTGCGATGGGGGACCTGGGTAAAAACATGGCGCAGATGAACCGATTCCTCCTTGGGCTCCAGAGGAGCCGAGGCACGCCGAGGGCGGCGACAGGCTTTCTTGCGGGGTCGAGTGTCAACCCGCTGTTCGCCAAAGAAAAGCCCCAGGGAAGTAGTGCTCCATCGCAGGATGCGAGTGTAATGTTGGCGGCCAAGCTTCATAGCTTTGACCTGCATTCTGGGGATGGAGTGGAGGTCTCTGCCATTGCGCGCAGCAAGGTCGGCCCACCGGTTGCCTCGGGCGTCGGTGCTCTGGCCCTGCTGGTGTCCTTTGACTAGGGTAACTCTCACATCAGACCCCACCTCGCCCAGATCAGAAATATTGGCCCATATGCGTACCCAAAGATCGACATTTAAACGCCGAGGCGAGCAGCACCATCGGGCTCCATGGGCAAGGCCGTCAACCAGGCCTTTGAAGTCGGCGTGCACACAAACGGGGGGGAGGCAGACCTGGAGGACCTGAAGGAAGCGAAAAGCTCGGCCCTGGGCGGGGACTGTATGGGGCCTGGGAGAGCCCCAAAAACAAGAATATCTACCCCTGGAGGCGGCTCACACAACTGACAGAAACCCCAGCCTGCACTCGTGGCCTCAGGCCAGTACCACATACGCTGACACGCACCATCTGTGCACACGTTTCCTGTGATACCTTGCGGGTCGCTGTATTGGATGTGCCAGTGCCCAGTGCTGTCCCGCGGTGGTAGCGGTGGGAAGCATGAGCGAGAGACGAGTCCTGTAGACCATAACATAGAGTCACGCACTTGCCTAGGGAATCCTTCCATGCGAATGTGAGACATGTGCAGCTGACGCTGTGTATGCAGTGCTGGACAATCGTACACAATATGATTCAAATCACATGATGCCGCCGTACACCGAGGGCATGTGTCTGTGCCCCTGCATCCACACTTCGCAAGCCTTGATGGGCTCCAAAGACCACATCCCAGATACGCACATAAGAGGCCTGCTGCTTTGAGGGAGGGCTTCCACTTGTCAGCAAAAGGGTTGGGTCCAACAGGGGGCGGGGTCGGGCATGCATCATCCTCGCGATCGGGATCGCCTTGCTCGTCCTCATTTCCTGAGTCGTCACCTTCGTGTAGTTCAACCTTGGATAAGATCTGCAATATTGGCTCAATCCAATATCCAATAGGCTCCCGAGGAATGGCATCGTGTCCTGGGAGAGGTGGCCGTCGGGCCCACTTTTCCCATAGTCGTCGCACCCCAGCATCTCTAGCAAGCTGACGGATGGTGGACGGCGCCTCATCACGAACGTTGATCCGAACCCCTAGGCCCGTCCTCCAAACAGCGCTGCTGATCGTGGCCCAACCGAGCTCTCGTAGTGCAAGCGCTGTGGCACCAGCGGGACCCGACACGTGCCGCCACGGGTGGGGAGAGTGAAAGATCTTCTGGATCCGGCGAAGCCATGCTGACTGCAAGACACAGTGGGGCACCTGCGGATCGCGAAACAAAAGGGACCACTGGTACAACGGCGCGGCCCAGGCCTCCACCTGGGGATCAGTGAAAAGAGATCCCTGTAGGCATGATGTGATCCAACACGATGTGCTGGAGCCTGGGGCGTGCCACACACCTCGCTGCGCCTGCCGCATTTGTTCGACAAGTCGTGGGGGGGGGGCTCCATGCACGCCTAGCCCGTAGGTCAAGGCTGGTGGGGGAGCCTGCCTGTGGAAACGACTGAGGAGAGGACCAGCCCTGTGCAGTGAGATAAAGCGCGGTCGACGACTGGCCACACCCCTCACACGTTGTCGAAGCCTACTGTAGCGTACTGGGCGTCCCGAGACCTCGATCCCAAGAACCTCCAAAGCCTCCACGTAGACGTACCCAAGATCCCGTAGTTGATAGGCCACATGTTTTCCCAACGCAGGCATGGAGCTAGTGAGCCTCATCTTGTGGGCAGCTGGAGGGAGCCCTAGGGTCTAAGTATTTGTACCAAAAGCCGTAGAACCCTCTGGGACCATGAACCGATGTGTCGTAGTACGCCATATGTGCACTGTAATGTCGTCCGCATACACGTCGATGCTACGTGGTATGTCCATAGTGGTGCGTGTGAGGTGATCGAAAGGGGCAATCATGATACACTGCAACGCGAACATGGCCATCGAGCATCCTGGTAACACCCCACATTGCGCATACACGACATCCGAGTAGCAATTGTCCCATACCAAACGTCGGCTGCACATGTATATCCTAAATGCAAGGAGGAGCAGTGGCCCAGGAAAGCCTTGCTGGATCCCCGCACGCAGCAGCCACAACCACGGCACTTTGTCGAAGCACGTTGCTACATCAACGATCACATGCACTGATGCCTGCGATTCTGGTCGCAGATGTCCACCTGCCTCTGCTGCTACCATCACACGAGCTACAACGTCCGTCGCTGATCGCTGCGAGCCAAGTGCAAGATACTGGCGATCTAGACGGGACGCCCACGCCCTGACCCAAGCTAGTCGGGCGTGAGCCCATACTCGGCAGATGGATGGGAGCAACGCAATAGGTCGGTACCCACCCGTCGGTTTGCCCAGTAAAATGATGCGCACGCGTCTAGTACACGTGGGCAATGTCCCAAAGGCCTCACATAGATGTAGTAGGTATCCCAAGACAGCCAGGGCCCCGTTGGAGGCCAACGCCCAATGTCGAGGTCTGAACTGATCTGGCCCAAGGGCCGTGCGCCCCGAGAAACTCCGTGCCGCTTGCCGAAGGGCTCCGATGCAAGGGAGACATACGTGGGCCAGCCTGACATAGGCCTCGCATTTCGACGATGAGGTCCCCATTGCCATCGTCATGAACGCTCTGGGTGAGGAGGGGGGGTTCGTCGTCACATCCTACCCATACGTCTTTCCAAGGCTGTCGCTGGGCCAGACATATGTCCTCAGAGGTGCTGGAGGGTCCCAAGGCGGTGTCAACCTGTGAAATCGTCCAACCACGAGGTTTCGACCAACGGTGTATGAGTCCTGATCGCTGCCTCAAGTGCTGTCGGATCCATGTTGTGAAAGAGCGAGCCCGAGCCGTAGCGATCCTTCTTTCGATGACTGCAGCAGCCCGTCCGAGGTAGGACGACGCTAGCCCGAGCAAATGATGCTGCAGGGTAGGCTGTTGGGCGGCTGTGTGTAGTAGATACGTCAGTACAGCTGTGACGGGAGGGGAGATGTGCTTCCTCATCCTGCCTCCCTTACCTTCTTGAGCGAGGAAGGAATAGAGGTGTGCCCATGCCTGCGCGACCTGGTGAGGTCGTCTCACCTGGGCCAGCTGAACACCGCTGACGCGCAACTGTAGTAGGCGTAGGGCACGGGCCTCGGCAGACGCAGCAGGCTGGTGCCTCGCCAGGGCTCCCCCTGCCGTGGTGCGCTTGTACCTCGGCGCAGCTCCTCGCCCTGCGCGCCTTAAATCATTGGGCGGCAAGCTAAATAATGGGAGCAACCCCGCCTCCACTCCACGATGCAAGTGTGCGCATATGTTGTCCAACCGTGTGGGGTGGTCGTCACATGGTCCTAACCGGTGCAGAGAGTCGCCCCTCATGAGTTCCACCCAAGATAGCCCAGGGTCCCCACGCAAGACAGTGCACTGTGGTTCGCCATCGACATCCTCCAAATCCTTACGCAGGGATGCCGCGGGCTGGCGTGGGAAAGGCTTGGGTCCTCGAAGCACACGAATGGTTTGGGCGCGAGCCTGCGGTCCCAGGGAGGCCTCCACAACGTAGTGATT